GTTGGCAATAAATTCGAACAATAAATAGACAACACGTAATCCACTTGTTTTAAAATAATACATTCATAACAAGTCAAAGATCTGTAGAAAAATTCTTTACACTATGGAACATCACAGTTGTATATAAAACTCTAAATAATTCTCTTTTCTTGTTAAAAGTCCACTTAGGCTGATTCAATTACTTTAGAATCCAATTGACAAGACAAACAATTTTCTCTACTCTTATCACAATAGCATCTGTGAATAATTCACTTACGCTACCCCCATGGCTTACCACAGTTGTATCCTGAACTTCAAATAATTGTCTCCTTTCTTGTCAAAGTCCACACAGATGGGTTCAATTACTTTAGAACACACTTTGACAAGACACATTATTCTCCTTACCTCTATTAAACTATGAAACTCACTTTAAAATATCACCTGTTATGCAGAGTTGATGAGAGGGGGCAAGGGGTAGCTGCTGCCAGGTCTGTCGAGGGGTCCAGCAGTGGGATCTTCCAAAGCTCACTAGAAATGCATACTATGTTATGAGTTAAAATGGTTACTGCTTTTTTTCATAAACTCCTGAAAAAATTGTCACCTAAATTTTTTTTTATGAAAAATTAACAAAAGTGGGGCCCAATGATATTACTGACTCTGGGGTCTGAGCTGGCTTTCCACGCCCCTGCCATTAGGGCTATTCACTCACACACTGGCCAGCTTCACCTTTTCTCTCATTAACCAATTTTCTGACTAAACTGCACTTGACACTTATTTAACTTCAGTTCTCGACTAGCGCTCGCTTGGTCGCCTATATTTATACATTAATCACTGAGGCCTCGAACTTTCTATTAAAGGTTCGCGATGGCGCTGATTTAACAAAATCAGTTAAAGTAACGAGAAAAATAGCGATGGTTCGAGTAATGTGACGTCCACAATATTAGTAAAGCCTACACAACAATGTAATTGCAAACACAACGTACACAATTCATAGAGTTACGTAAACATACTTATCATAACTATAGCCTTTAAAATAATTACTTGTAATTCTCTTGTTATGAAAAGCAAATTAAATATTAAATCATCAAATAAACGAAATACTTATAACACACAAACAGTCTTATATATCCAACAAGCGGAAAACAGCTAATGTAAAAGCATGTCACTGGATTTTGTTTGTGGTGATTTAAAAAAAATCCATTCTCATCCACTCATCAGTCCCATGGGAAATTTCTGATTGTAGAAGATTGGCAGTTTCTTGCTCCAATTGACATTCCTCATCAAATTCTTTTGATTGTGGCATTCTTGTTTGTTTCTGTGCATGGATCCTGTGTACAGGTAGCCACTCTCCTTATGATATACCACATTCAGAATCTATTTGAGCCTGGATAGCCTACAACATTCTAAATCATTCAGAAGCTTACTCCGAAGATAAATAACTAAGTTTGTTTCAAATTATTCACCCTAGAGAAAGAAAGACTATGAGAATTCCATCAAGAAGACTAAAATCTCAAGGAATTCTCCAAGTAAAACTGAAGAATTTATTACCTCTTTTTTGAAAAACGTTTTTAAAGGAGCATTCAAACAGTTCTGTGCAAACAATTTCTGTAAACATCCTTTCAGAAGAGAAATGGTATTTTGTGAAGGGGAGTGTCAAGACTTGTATCGCATAGTGTGTCTTGGAGAATATGTGGAACTACCTAAAATCTATGTTTGTCTAAAAGTGTATAAGCATCTAATATTAATTTTCGTTTCTCGCTACAAAAGTAGCATTTTAAGTCCTATAAGTTCAAAGAGGAGATTCTAACCTCAAGATATTAGCTGATCTACCATTGGAGAGTACTAGCTACTGCTACGTTCTTGAACTAGGCAGCATTAGAGAGTCTTAATGAGCAGACGCAAGTACAAACTGTGAATAATGATGTTCAATTGATATTCATAGATTAATTTTGGCAAAGCAGACTTTTTGTGTCATTTGATAGAGCGATTACTACTCTTTAAAGACCTGTGCTGTGATTTATGACATAAAGACTACTTCATAAGTGGAGGAAGCTTCAAATATTGGCATACCAGGTTTCATAATGCTTAAAGATTAATTTCCACATCACAGACTGTTTGTGTCAATAAGTGTTATATATCATGGAATAGAACATTACCTTACTTTCACAAATGTGTTTTTATTTTGGTTTGTGACACAAAATCTTTAGTAAGTTTCAAAGATTTACTAATTAGATTTATTTACTATTCTGTGTCGAATATCGGTATTACAGACTGTTTGTGTCAAGAAGTGTTATACGTCACAGAATAGACAATTTAATGACATCCACAAATGTATTTTCATTTGTGACACACAGAGTCCTAAATAAGTTAATGCAGTTTTCAAGTTTGAAAAATGATGTGTATTTCGTATTCAGTAATCAACACTGTGTTACTACTGGTGTGAGAAGGTGAGTCCTGCTCTTCTTTACATACAAAACATCATCTCAAATTATTTTCTGTCACACATTTTTACTGAATTTGTGTAAAGTTAGTTCAGGCTTCTTTACATTACATTACCCTATGCTATGTTAGGCCTATGGCTTGGGTGATCTCCCCATGCTCAACAATGGACAGTAATCATGAATGCTTCCTAACACAAGTACAAAAAATAGAAGTACACGAAAAAAAAATTTAAAAGCCATTATAGACCAACCCGCTAAAAACAAAATGTCTTTACAGACCAACACGAAGAAAGATCCATAAAAATGATAACCATTATATAATGTTTTATAAAATAAAGAGATTTGCATCAATAAAATCATACACACACACACACACACACACATATATATATATATATATATATATATA